TTCTGCCTTTTTAATATTTCCTAGAATATTTTATTCTTCTAGGACAGAGGTCTTCAAACTTGGCAGCTTTAAGACTTGTGGACTTCAACTCCCAGAATTCTCCAGCCAGCATAGCTGTTGTTGAAGTCCACAAGTCTTAAAGCTGCCAAGTTTAGGGACCCCTGTTCTAGGAGATAGGTGGGTGCTAAATTCCTACAGAAGGGAGGGAGGGAAGGGAAGGGTAGGAAGGAGGGAGAAGGGAGGGAGAAAGGAAGGAGGGAGGGAGGGAAGGAAGGAAAGGAAGGAAAAGAAAGGAAAGGAGGGGAGGGAGGGAGGGAGAAAGGGAAGGAAGAAAGGAAGGAGAAGGGAGGGAGGGAGGAAGGGAGGAAGGAAAAAGAAAGGAGGAGGAAGGGAAAGAAAGGAGGAGAAAGGGGGAGGAAGGAAGGAAGAAGAGAGAGATGAAGGAAAGAAAAGAAAAGAGGGAGGAGGAAGAAGAGGAAGGAGGGAGAGAGGGAGAAGAGAGGGATGGAGGAAAGAAAAGGAAAGAGGGAGAAGGGAAGGAAGGAAGGAAGAAGAGAGGGATGAAGGAAAGAAAAGAAAAGAGGGAGTAGGAAGAAGAGGAGGGAGGGAGAAGAGAGGGATGGAGGAAAGAAAAGGAAAGAGGGAGAAAGGAAGGAAGGAAGGAAGAAGAGAGGGATGAAGGAAAGAAAAGAAAAGAGGGAGTAGGAAGAAGGGGAGGGAGGAAGAGAGGGAGAAGAGAGGAATGGAGGAAAGAAAAGGAAAGAGGGAGAAGGGAAGGAAGGAAGGAAGAAGAGAGGGATTGAGGAAAGAAAAGGGAGAAGGAAGGCAGGCAGGAAGGAAGGAAGGAAGATTCCAATTTCCTTTGCAGCAATTATAAGTGCAATTACAATATTATCTTCTACTCTATGATAAAAAATGCATTAAGGTGATGCCGACAGCATTTTGCCTGAGCTTTGATTTGGAAAAGGAAGACAACAATTACGTAAACTTTTGAGTGGTTCCATGACTTCCCTCATTGGCAACTGATGCCATCACATGCTTCTTGTGGCAAAGTGGAAATTAAAAAGGGGGGGGGCTGCCTTAATTTAAATTAGGGCAGGATGGAGTCGGGTGCCTTGGAAGCCCCCCAGCTTGGCGTAGCTCTAAATGGGAGGGGTGGCTGGCCCCTTCTTCCAGGGAAAATGAAAAGCTGGTCTCCAGCGTGACCACATGTTGTCAAACCAGGTTGCTGTTAGGCTGACCAGGGAAGGAAGGGGAAACAGGGGGCACCCCCAGCCAGGACTGATTAATTACCTGGGTTTGTTCTGAGCGTTTGGAGAAGCTGGCAAAAACTGGGGAATGAAAGTTACATGGGAAGGGAGGGAAGGCAGATTAATGAAGATTGAGCATTTGTCAATCTTGGTGATTTGAAGATGGGTGGGCTTCAACTCCCAGAATTCCCCTGGTTTGTTCTGCTGGTTTGGTGTGGGGTTTTTTTCTTTACTCCTTCCTTCCTTCCTCTCCTCCTTTTCTTTCTTTCTCTTTCTTTCTTTCTTTCTTTCTTTCTTTCTTTCTTTCTTTCTTTCTTTCTTTCGTTTCAACACCCATCTCACTTATCCAAAGTGTCTCTGGGTGGCTTAGAATGCCACAAAAGCATCAATAATCTTTTTATCTTTCTTCTTTCCTTCCTTCTTTCCTTCCCCTCTTCCTTTTTCCTTCCCTCTTTCTTTTTCTTTCTTTCTTTCTTCCCTCCTTCTTTCCTTCTTTCTTTCTTCTTTCTTCCTTTTTACTTCCCTCCCTTTTTTCTTTCTTTCTTTCTCTTTCTCTTTCTTTCTTTCCTTCCTTCCTTCTCTTCCTCCCTCCCTTCTCTCTCTCTCCTTTATTTATTTATTTATTTCCTTCCTTCCTCTCCTCCCTTCCTCTTTTCTTTCTTTCTTTCTTTCTTTCTTTCTTTCTTTCTTTCTTTCTTTCTTTCGTTTCAACACCCATCTCACTTATCCAAAGTTTCTCTGGGCGGCATAGAATGCCACAAAAGCATCAATATAAGAGCATTAAAATTAACAACAGTTAAATTTGTCTGAAATTGTCTTTTTGTCTTTCTTCTTTCCTTCCTTCCTTCCTTCCCCTTTCTTTTTCCTTCCCCTCTTTCTTTTTCTTTTTCTCTTTCTTTCTTTCTTCCCTCCTTCCTTCCTTCTTCTTCCTTCCTTCCTTTTTACTTCCCTCCCTTTTTTCTTTCTTTCTTTCTCTTTTTCTTTCTTTCCTTCCTTCTCTTCTTCCCTCTTCCTCCCTCCCTCCCTCCCTCCCTCCCTTCTCTGTCTCTCTCTCTCCTTTATTTATTATTTATTTATTTATTTATTTCCTTCCTTCCTTCTTTCCTGACTTCCACTCCTGCCTGGATGCACCCATCAAGTTTGAACAAAACATCCTCACTGCTTCCAAATCCTGTCCAGACTTTCAGTCGTAGCTGGGACTGGGAGAAATATAATCTCCTCACCAGGCGCCCAAAAACATTGAGAAAAGTATACTCTTCGTGGCGTGTGATTTCCACATGCAGGCTTCGCGAAAGGACGTTGCGGTGCCATGCTTCAGGATCTGATTAGCTTTCTTAATATGATGTTGCAGGCGGAGCGAGTCCACGATCCAGCTGCCTGCAGGAATCTCGCTCAAAGCCCAGCTGGTAATTCAGCTTTTCCTTGGAGGCATCCAGGAAGGGCTGCCTGCCAGTTTTCCATTCGGTTCCACTGCCCAAAAAAACTCTTAGGAACTTTTTTTAATGCCCCATTTCATATTAACAGAGTTGGAAGGGACCTTGGAGGTCATCTAGTCCAACCCCCTGCCCAAGCAGGAGACACTACACCAATTCTCATAGATGGCAGTCCAGTCTCTCCTTGAAAGCCTCCAGTGATGAAGCTCCCACAACTTCCGAAGGCAACTTCTCTGTTCCATGGGTTGATTGTTCTCACGGTCAGGAAATTCCTCCTTATTTCTAAGTTGAATCTCTCCTTGGTCAGTTTCCATCCATTATTCCTTGTCTGGCCTTCAAACCTGGAATTAGGAAGAAATTTCCTGACAATTAGAACAATTAGCCAGTGGAACAACTTGCCACCAGACGTTGTGAATGATCCAACACTGGAAGTTTTTAAGAAGAAATTGAACAGCCATTTGTCTGAAATGGTCTCAGGCAGCCGGTTCTATCGGCTCGGGCAAACCGGTAGCACCGATGGTGGGAGGCTCCGCCCACCTGCCCGGATGTCATCACATCCCGTTTTTGACCCTCTGCACATGCGCAGAAGGCTCTGTGTATGCGTGGAGGAGGCGCGCGCGTTCGCTCACATCTGCGAGCCGGTAGCAAAGGTAAATGAATTTCACCCCTGGTATAGGGTGTCCAGCTTGAGAAGGGGGTTGGACTAGAAGACCTTCAGGGTCCCTCCCATCGCTGTCATTCTGTTATTCCCATCAGAGAAATGAGGGACATCTTTAAATTCTTTTTTAAAAATTCTTTTATTTAATTAAAACAGTGAATATCACCATCTCTGCTCACTCCCTTTTTTGTTTCCAAAAAAGTTTTTTTGTTTTTATTTCTCATAAACACAGTTACAGTCATTTATCCATCATTTTTCATTCATCTTATCTTTTAACTTTCATTTTTAATTTTTACTTTTTCGGGGCTGCTCTTTTACCATTTACCTTTACTCCAACCTTTCTTCTCCTCCCCTTCTCTTCCTTCCTCTATCTCCTCCTACTTCCTTCGTTCTTCCTCTCTTTCTCTTTCTTACTTCTCCTTCCTTTCCCCCACTCCTCTCTTCTTCCCCCCTTCTAACCTTTTCTTCTACTCCTCTTTCCCCTCCCTTTTCTTCCTCTCCTTTTCCCTTTCTTCTCTCTTTCCTTCTCTTTTCCTCTCTTCTCTCTTCCTCTCTCTCTACTCTTTCCCCTTCCTTTTCTTCCTCTCCTTTTCCCTTTTTTTCTTTCTCTCCCTCTCCTCTCCTCTCTTCTCCTTCCTCTCTCTCAACTCTTCCCCTCCCTTTTCTTCCTCTCCTTTTCCCTTTCTTCTTTCTCCTCTCCTCTCGTCTCCCTTCCTCTCTCTCTACTCTTTCCCCTCTCTCTTGTTGTTTCCCTTTTCAGTTCAATCTAAAGTGGTATTCGAGCAGCTGCTCGGCAGCTGGATATCTTTAAATTCAAGGTCCTGAAATCAATACAGTACTATGTACAAATGAAATTTACAAATTTTCTGGGTTAAGCTGCCACTGTGTTAAAAGAGACGGAAGCCAATAGCTTTGCAGTTCTTTAAATGCGGCAGGAAATGCATTACAGAAATAATAATTTTTGAAATTCTAACCATTTTCAATATACAGGGAGTGCTTGACTTCGTTTAGTGACATTTCAAAGTTACAGTGGCACGGGAAAATGTGACTTATGACGGTTTTGTCCAGACTGAGGAACGCGGCTTATGAAATTGTGCAAACTCTGAATTTACCGAGTTTAAACTTCAAGATATGATGCTAACCCAGAAATTGGGTTGACAAGGTTTCAGTTCTCCCCTGCGGAGTACTGAGAGTCCTCGATTTACAACCATTCACTTAGTGACCGTTCGAAGTGACTACGGCGCAGAGAAAAGTGACTTATAATCGTTTTTCACACTTACGACCGTTGCACTATTCCTGTGGTCATGTGATCAAAATTCAGACGCTTGGCAACCGATTCATACTTACGACGGTTGCAGTATCCCGGAATTATGTGATTCCCCCTTTTGCGACCTCATGACAAGCAAAGACATTGGGGAAGCCAGATTCACTTAGCGACCGTGTTACTAGCTTAACAACTGCTGCGATTCACTTAACAACGGTGGCAAAAAATGGTTGTAAAATGGGGCAAGGCTCACTGAATGACTGTCTCACTTAGCAACAAAAACATTGGGCTCAATTGTGGCCGTATAAGTCGAGGATTGCCTGTTATTCTTCAGAAGTGGAATAGCAGGCAAAGATCATCCTGTTTTCTCTGCATTTTCTTTGGATGTCCAACAGGTTGAGTCAGAGGATCAAGTCTTGGCGACCTTCTGTGGGAAAGAGGACCGAGATCCGGAACAGACCCCTGGACGAGAGCCGATCACGTCTCCGGGATCACATCTGAGCCTGACTTTCCAATCCGACTTTTCCAACGAGGAGCGGTTCACGGGGTTTGATGCCCATTACGCCGCTGTGGGTGAGTTTGGATATCTCGGTTGGTTCCTTCGCCCATCTGGACAGGCCAACACTGGAACTCAGAACAAGGAGAAAGGAGAAATCCTTGGGTGGAGGACTGGACTAGATGACCTTCAAGGTCCCTTCCAACTCTGTTATTCTGTTAAAGTCACCTCAGGGCATCCTAGGATGGTCCAGAGTTGACCTCAAAGTGGCCACTTTGGAAAAGCGAGTGAGAAATTCTAGAAGTCATATCCAGGTAGTCCTCAAGTTATGACCGTAATGTAGTCTGTTGTTCATTATTTATTTGTTAGATTTTTTTTATCCTGTCTTTATTATTATAAGGTTGATTCAGCCTTCCATCCTTCCGAGGTCGGTAAAATGAGGATCCGGATTGTTGGGGGCAAGAGGCTGACTCTGTAAACTGCTTAGAGAGGGCTGTAAAAACACTATGAAGCGGTATATAAGTCTAAACGCTATTGCTATTATTATGTGTTTTATAGGAACTCGAAGCAGTGAATATACATAATATTCCTTCCTCCTATTTTCCCCGTAACAACAACCCTGTGAGGTGTCTTGGGCTGAGGGAGAGAGAGAAGGCTGGCTCAAAATCACCCAGCCGGTTTTCATGCCTAAGGCAGGACTAAACTCACCGTCTCCTGGTGATTGGCCCAAAGTCACCCAGCCAGCTTTCATGCCTAAAGCGGGACTAGAACTCACCGTCTCCTGGTGATTGGCCCAAAGTTACCCAGTGAGCTTTCATGCCTAAGGCAGGACTAGAACTCACAGCCTCCTGGTGATTGGCCAAAGTCCCAGCCAGCTTTCATGCCTAAGGCAGGACTAGAACTCACCGTCTCCTGGTGATTGGCCCAAAGTCACCCAGTTGGGTCTCATGCCTAAGGCAGGACTAGAACTCACTGTCTCCTGGTGATTGGCCCAAAATCACCCAGCCGGCTTTCATGCCTAAGGGAGGACTAGAACTCACCGTCTCCTGGTAATTGGCCCAAAATCACCCAGCCGGCTTTCATGCCTAAGGCAGGACTAGAACTCACCCTCTCCTGGTGATTGGCCCCAAATCACCCAGTTGGGTCTCATGCCTAAGGCGGGACTAGAATTCACCGTCTCCTAGTGATTGGCTCCAAAATCACCCAGCCAGCTTTCATGCCTAAGCAGGACTAGAACTCACCATCTCCTGGTGATTGGCCCAAAATCATGTAGCCGGGTTTCATGCCTAAGGCGGGACTAGAACTCACAGTCTCCTGGTGATTGGCCCAAAGTCACCCAGCTGGGTCTCATGCCTAAGGCAGGACTAGAACTCACCCTCTCCTGGTGATTGGCCCAAAATCACCCAGTCAGCTTTCATGCCTAAGCAGGACTAGAACTCCCTGTCTCCTGGTGATTGGCCCAAAATCACCCAGCCGGTTCTCATGGATAAAGCAGGATTTACCATCACCTGGTGATTGGCCCAAATTCTCTCACCTGGCTTTCCCACCTGAGGCGGAACTAGAACTCCCGTCTCCTGGTTTCTAGGCCAGCACCTTAACCACTAACCAAACCAACCCTCTTTATCTCGGTTGATTGGATCACTCTTAAGAAGACCCCCCAACCACCGTCTCTCCGCTTAGCCAAAATGAACACCTACCAGTGAGTTGCCAACAGAGATGGTAGATTGACGTTTTCCCATCACAGATATCGATGAGTGCTTGGAGAGCAACGATGAAGAATTGGCCTGTGATCATCACTGCCACAACTACATCGGGGGCTATTATTGTTCCTGCCGCTTTGGGTACATTCTCCACTCGGACAACAGGACCTGCAAAGGTAGGGACCCTCCTGCCATCTGCCCCAAAGGTGCAACTGGACTTTCTGGGTTTTTCTCTTTGAAGACGTTTCGCTTCTCATCCGAGAAGCTTCCTCAATTCTGACCGGATGGGGGGGGGGGAATGGAAGGATTGATACTCCTTGCAGACAAAGCTGGTCATTTGCATCCTTTGAGAGGGTCCTTGAGGCCACTTGGAGGTTACCTGTGTCCTCAGGGTCACCTGAGTGTGCAAATGGGCATGTGGAGCCTTCTTGGAACTGCTGAAAGGACTGTGTTATACAGTGGTGGAATTCAATTTTTTTTTACTACCACTTCTGTGGGTGTGGCTTGGTGGGTGTGGCTTGGTGGGCATGGCAGGGGAAGGATACTGCAAAATCCCCATTCCCTCCCCACACCTGAGGGAAGGATATTGCAAAATCTCCATTCCCTCCCCACTCCAGGGGAAGGATACTGCAAAATCCCCATTCCCTCCCCACTCCAGGGGAAGGATACTGCAAAATCCCCATTCCCTCCCCACTCCTGAGGGAAGGATATTTGCAAAATCTCCATTCCCTCCCCACTCCAGGGGAAGGATACTGCAAAATCCCCATTCCCTCCCCACTCCAGGGGAAGGATACTGCAAAATCCTCCATCCCTCCCCACTCCTGAGGGAAGGATGTTGCAAAATCTCCATTCCCTCCCCACTCCAGGGGAAGGATACTGCAAAATCCCCATTCCCTCCCCACTCCTGGGGGAAGGATACTGCAAAATCCCCATTCCCTCCCCACTCCTGAGGGAAGGATACTGCAAAATCTCCATTCCCTCCCCACTCCTGAGGGAAGGATATTGCAAAATCTCCATTCCCTTCCCACTCCAGGGGAAGGATACTGCAAAATCCCCATTTCCTCCCCACTCCTGGGGGAAGGATATTGCAAAATCTCCATTCCCTCCCCACTCCTGAGGGAAGGATATTGCAAAATCTCCATTCCCTCCCCACTCCTGAGGGAAGGATATTGCAAAATCTCCATTCCCTCCCCACTCCAGGGGAAGGATACTGCAAAATCCCCATTTCCTCCCCACTCCTGGGGGAAGGATATTGCAAAATCTCCATTCCCTCCCCACTCCTGAGGGAAGGATATTGCAAAATCTCCATTCCCTCCCCACTCCTGAGGGAAGGATACTGCAAAATCCCCATTCCCTCCCCACTCCTGGGGGAAGGATACTGCAAAATCTCCATTCCCTCCCCACTCCTGAGGGAAGGATACTGCAAAATCCCCATTCCCTCCCCACTCCTGGGGGAAGGATACTGCAAAATCTCCATTCCCTCCCCACTCCTGAGGGAAGGATGTTGCAAAATCTCCATTCCCTCCCCACTCCAGGGGAAGGATACTGCAAAATCCCCATTCCCTCCCCACTCCTGAGGGAAGGATACTGCAAAATCCCCATTCCCTCCCCACTCCTGGGGGAAGGATACTGCAAAATCCCCATTCCCTCCCCACTCCTGAGGGAAGGATACTGCAAAATCCCCATTCCCTCCCCACTCCTGGGGAAGGATACTGCAAAATCTCCATTCCCTCCCCACTCCTGAGGGAAGGATATTGCAAAATCCCCATTCCCTCACCACTCCAGGGGAAGGATACTGCAAAATCCCCATTCCCTCCCCACTCCAGGGGAAGGATACTGCAAAATCTCCATTCCACCCTACTCTGGGGCCAGCAAAGAGGTGGTATTTGCCGATTCTCCGAAACTGCTCAAAATTTCTGCTACCGGTTCTCCAGAACCTGTCGGAACCTGCTGGATTTCACCCCTGGTGTTGTAGATTGGAAGTAGGTGATGTCGGTGAAGATCCACCCCCAATTGCAGCATCCCCATGATCAAACTTCAGACACTTGGCAACTGATTCATACTTATGACGGTCACCGTGTCCCAGGGTCACGTAACCCCCTTTGGCAAACATCTCACAAGCAAAGTCAACGGGTGGAGCCAGATTCACTTAACAACCATGTTACTAACTTAACAACTGCGGTGATTCACTTAACAACGGTCATAAAACGGGGCAAAACTCACTTAACAACTGTCTCGCTTAGCAACGTAGATTTTGGGCTCCGTTGTGGTCGTAAGTCGAGGACTACCTGTAATACCCGGATTACAGACCCATTCGTGCCGCTAACCCAAAACTAACCAGGTTAATGTTGTGATCTTTGTTTGTTTGTGTGTGTGTGTCTGTTGCAGTGGAATGCAGCAACAACCTCTTCACCCAGAGGAGTGGGGTAATCCACAGCCCCGATTTTCCCAACTCCTACCCCAAAAGCTCCGACTGCGGGTACCGCATTGGGTTGGAGGAAGGATTTTTCATTACACTCCAGTTCGATGACAGTTTCGACATCGAAGATCACCCGGAGGTCACCTGTCCCTACGATTACATTAAGGTCAGTGCATTCAACCCATTGGATCCAGAACTGCAGTAGAACAGAAAGAGTTGCTCTATTGTGAGGTCCTGGGTGCGCCCTGAGTTTGTTTGTCTTGTAAACGTTTCGTGACCCAGCTAGGGAACACCATCAGTGCTAGAAGGTAGTGAGGTTTGCAGAAAGGAGGAGGAGGAGGCTATGGGGTCCTGGGTGCTCTCTGAATTTGGCTGTTTTCTTACGGACGTTTCATGACCCAACTAGGTAACATTATCAGTGCTAGAATGGTGAGGTTTGCGAGGAGGAGGAGGGAGGGAGGAGAAGGAGGAAGAGGAGGAGCCTTTGGGGTCCTGGGTGCTCTCTGAATTTGGCTGTTTTCTTATGGACATTTCATGACCCAACTAGGTAACATTATCAGTGCTAGAATGGTGAGGTTTGCGAGGAGGAGGAGGGAGGGAGGAGAAGGAGGAAGAGGAGGAGCCTTTGGAGTCCTGGGAGCTCTCTGAATTTGACTGTTTTCTTATGGACATTTCATGACCCAACTAGGTAACATTATCAGTGCTAGAATGGTGAGGTTTGCGAGGAGGAGGAGGGAGGAGGAAGAGGAGGAGGGAGGAGGAAGAGGAGGAGGGAGGAGGAAGAGGAGGAGCCTTTGGGGTCCTGGGTGCTCTCTGAATTTGGTTGTTTTCTTACAGACGTTTCATGACCCAACTAGGTAACATCATCAGTGCTGAAAGAGAGAGGAGTTATATTATATAGAAACAGAGAGCAAATCAATCCTCCCTTCCAGCACTGATGATGTTACTGTCAGCACTCCAAACTACATTCGTTCCAGTGCTGACATAAGGAGGAGAAGAGGGGGCAGCTGGCAAGAGGACGCTTGGCTTTTCACCGACTTATTTTCCCTGAAGATAATATCCCCTAGGAGATGGGATGGGAGGGGGGACATTCCTGGGAGCTGAAGTAGTAGATATGGGGAGAGTGATTTGGAAGAGGGCCAATGAGACGCAGAGAATTGGGGAACGGAAAGGGAAGGTTTGGGAGTCAGGAAGCCAGTGTTGGCTTCGACATAATCGGGGACAGATTGTCGTGCTTAATAAATGAAAGATTTCATCAAAGACTATTTGTTTGGAAATGCAATTTATTTGAGACGACATCGAAACCTGACAGTTATCTAGTTGGGTCAGAAAAGGTCTGTAAGAAAACCACCAAGCTCAGAGAGCACCGAAGTGTGAGAAACGTGAATACGTCACTTTTTCCAGTGCTGTTATAACTTTGAGCAGTCACTAAGTGAATAGTTGCAACCCTAATCTGTAATTGTCCTCACTATGAGGAAATTTCTCCTGAATTCCAGGTTGCTTCTCTCCTTGATTAGTTTCCATCCATTGTTTCTTGTCCTGCCTTCAGTTCCTTTGGAGAATAGCTTGACCCCCCTTTTCTTTGGGGCAGCCCCTCAAATACTGGAAGACTGTTATTATGACATCCCTAGTCCTTATTTTCATTAAAGTTGACGCACCCAAATCCTTCAACCGTTCTTCATATGTTTTAGCCTCCGGGCCTTTAATCCTCTTAGTTGCTCTTCTTTGCACTCTGCACGCTCTCTGGGGACCTCACCTGGCCTTTTCCCATAAACCTTGGCTTTATCGCTTGATAGATCAAAACTGGATCGAAAGAACTGGGCCCTTTTGCGGAGAAAGATCTCCCGGACGGATTGAAACCCGGAGCAACCAAGTTCAAATCCTGTTCCACAGCGATAATTCGGGGAGAACGGAGGGTGGAAATTAACGTACACGACCACAGGTAATATATAACCCTGGAGTCTAAAGGTTGCGAGGTACATTTGAGGTCATCTAGACTAATGTTGCTCAATCTCAGGAAGTTTTAAGGTGGGTGGACCAACTCCCGGAATTCGCCAGGAAGCCAAACAATTCCCAATAATGTTTATTTTATTTAGCCTGCCTTTATTATTTTGATAAATAACTCAACGACAATCCTGTGAAGTGGGTTGGGTTGAGAGAGAATGACTAGAACTCACCGTCTCCTGGTGATTGGTCCAAAGTCACCCAGCCGGCTTTCATGCCTAAGGTGGGACTAGAACTCACCGTCTCCTGGTGATTGGCCCAAAGTCACCCAGTGAGCTTTCATGCTTAAGGTGGGACTAGAATTCACCATCTCCTGGTGATTGGTCCAAAGTCACCCAGTGAGCTTTCATGTTTAAGGTGGGACTAGAACTCCCCATCTCCTGGTGATTGGTCCAAAGTCACCCAGTGAGCTTTCATGCTTAAGGTGGGACTAGAATTCACCATCTCCTGGTGATTGGTCCAAAGTCACCCAGTGAGCTTTCATGCTTAAGGTGGGACTAGAATTCACCATCTCCTGGTGATTGGTCCAAAGTCACCCAGCCGGCTTCCATGCCTAAGGCGGGACTAGAATTCACCGTCTCCTGGTGATTGGCCCAAAGTCACCCAGCCGGCTTCCATGCCTAAGGCGGGACTAGAACTCCCCGTCTCCTGGTGATTGGCCCAAAGTCACCCAGCTGGCTTTCATGCCTAAGGCGGGACTAGAACTCCCCGTCTCCTGGTGATTGGTCCAAAGTCACCCAGCTGGCTTTCATGCCTAAGGCGGGACTAGAACTCACTGTCTCCTGGTGATTGGCCCAAAGTCACCCAGCCGGCTTTCATGCCTAAGGCGGGACTAGAACTCCCCGTCTCCTGGTGATTGGCCCAAAGTCACCCAGCCGGCTTTCATGCCTAAGGCGGGACTAGAACTCCCCGTCTCCTGGTGATTGGTCCAAAGTCACCCAGCCGGCTTTCATGCCTAAGGCGGGACTAGAACTCACCGTCTCCTGGTGATTGGCCCAAAGTCACCCAGCCGGCTTTCATGCCTAAGGCGGGACTAGAACTCCCCGTCTCCTGGTGATTGGCCCTAAATCACCCAGCCAGCTTTCATGCCTAAAGTGGGACTAGAACTCCCCGTCTCCTGGTGATTGGCCCTAAATCACCCAGCCACTTTCATGCCTAAAGTGGGACTAGAACTCCCCATCTCCTGGTGATTGGTCCAAAATCACCCAGCTAGCTTTCATGGTTAAGGTGGGACTTAAACTTGTGATCTTCTGCTTTCTCGCCAGGTGTCTTAACCACTAGACCAAAGTGATTCTCTTACATTATTTTGATAATATTCCCCTCTATCTTTTTAACAAGCCTTCTGTCCAATGTATACTCAATTCCTTTGTGGAGGATATTGCAAAATTTAGAAAGCTTTACCCTCAGGTTTCTGCTTTGCTTGGAGGATGCAACATTCTGTAAATTCAGAACAAGCTAGAATAAACCCAGGAAACCCACCCATCAAAAGACGCGCTCCTATAAAATCTGCATTTTTAAAAAATTAGGATTTTGGAGGTGCAAAGGAACCCCAGAAAATGCGTAACTCTGGGGTTGTTTAATCCAAGACTGTATGTTTTTCTTTTTCCTATCTGCTCGCCCCCTCTCTTCAACACAGGGGATCCGTGCCCACTTCTGGATCCCCCCATCCACGGGAAACTGGAACCCTCACAAGCCACCTACACCTTCAAAGACCAAATTGTGATCAGCTGCAATCCGGGATACAACGTGGTGAAGGTAGGTGGTGGAACCCGGCAGGAGAAATCAAGAGTAACGGCGCTGACCCAGATTCGGGCATGAAAGGCCAACCTGTTGTAGAGCCTTCCTCGTCAGGAGCAGTCTATCTCAGTGCAATTGCTAGCCTCCCGCGGTCTGAAAAGAGGCAAACTTTCCTTCCGTGTCTAATCACAGACACTTGGCCAGATAAAGTATTCAAATTCAGTTCAACTCAAGTCACACTCCCACAATGCATCTTAATTTATTGGTTGGCAAGATGGTTTTGATAATCACGCCTCGGTCTGGTCCCAGTGTCTCCAGGCGGTGAACCAAATTTAAAAATAAAATAACAGTATTAAGACTTAGAAGAATAAGATAGGATAGGAATAGGAATAGGAATAGAACAAAACAGAACAGAATAAACATTGGAATGAAGAATAGAATAGAATAGAATAGAATAGAATAGAATAGAATAGAATAGAATAGAATAGAATAGAATAGAATAGAATAGAATAGAATAGAAAATATGGGAGGGGAGCGGAGGGAAGAGAGGAGAGGAGAGGAGAGGAAGGGAGAAAAGAGGAGAGAAGAGAAGAGAAGAGAAGAGAAGAGAAGAGAAGAGAAGAGAAGAGAAGAGAAGAGAAAATATGGGAGGGGAGGGGAGGGGAGCGGAGGGAAGAGAGGAGAGGAGAGGAGAGGAAGGGAGAAAAGAGGAGAGGAGAGAAGAGAAGAGAAGAGAAGAGAAGAGAAGAGAAGAGAAGAGAAGAGAAGAGAAGAGAAGAGAAAATATGGGAGGGAGAGGAGGGGAGCGGAGGGAAGAGAGGAGAGGAGAGGAGAGGAAGGGAGAAAAGAGGAGAGGAGAGGAGAGGAGAGGAAGGGAGAAAAGAGGAGAGGAGAGGAGAGGAGAGGAGAGGAGAGAAGAGAAGAGAAGAGAAGAGAAGAGAAGAGAAGAGAAAATATGGGAGGGGAGCGGAGGGGAGCGGAGGGAAGAGAGGAGAGGAGAGGAGAGGAAAGGGAGAAAAGAGGAGAGGAGAGAAGAGAAGAGAAGAGAAGAGAAGAGAAGAGAAGAGAAGAGAAGAGAAGAGAAGAGAAGAGAAGAGAAAATATGGGAGGGGAGAGGAGGGGAGCGGAGGGAAGAGAGGAGAGGAGAGGAGAGGAAGGGAGAAAAGAGGAGAGGAGAGGAGAGGAGAGGAAGGGAGAAAAGAGGAGAGGAGAGGAGAGGAGAGGAGAGAAGAGAAGAGAAGAGAAGAGAAGAGAAGAGAAGAGAAAATATGGGAGGGGAGCGGAGGGAAGAGAGGAGAGGAGAGAAAAGAGGAGAGGAGAGGAGAAGAGAAGAGAAGAGAAGAGAAGAGAAGAGAAGAGAAGAGAAGAGAAGAGAAGAGAATAACAGAGTTGGAAGGGACCTTGGAGGTCTTCTCCTCGACTTTACGACCTTTCACTTAGCGACCGTTCGAAGTTACGACCTCCCTGAGAAGGGGGACTTACAACTTGCATCTGAAGTTTGGACAGTCCTGCTGCTTCCTGCAGTTATGTCGCCACATTTTATGATGGTTTTGCCCAAAATTTTTTTTTTAAATGGCACTTTGCGATTTTGGCCAAATCATGCCCAATAGCATACAATGGGCTTGCACTTACGACCGTCTTATTCACTTAGGAGCTGCTGCAAAAAAATGTTGTAAAATCAGGTCGGTCATGTGATTGACTCATTTTGGGAAGGTTACAATTTACGACCGTAATGGCAGACTCCATTGCAAGCGTAACTCAAGGACGGACTATATAATATGAGTAGAATAGAATTAAACTCGTCCATCGTTGCAAATTGTCTAAATCGCAGGCCTGAAATTGATTTATTCTCAAATTTGAAAAAATGTGATGATTAAAAATATATTCTGGGTCCAAATGAGTTATTGTATTAAGCTACGGTGAGAATAAAATTTAGCATCACTTTTAAAATCAGAATCAATGAAGGGTTAAGCTGTGTTTGCCGTCCATGTGACAAAATGGACTTTGCCAAGATTTTCACCAAATGCTCCTCGGAGGCTGAATGTGTGTTTTTATTTATAACGTCTTTGAAAATGAATAAAGTCAATCATTAAAATGCCAAGTAACATAAAAGGGGAAAGGGACAGGAAGCAGCAAAACAAACTAAAAAGTGATTTAAAAAAAGAATATATAAAAATGTATAACAAAAGTTACCTCTGACTTTTTTTTTTTACTACAGAGATAATAACAGTGGATTAGATACCAAGATACCTTCCAATTCTATTGTTCTATGTTCTTTCTAAGTTTTCACAAACAATCCTAATCTTTAAAATATCTTAAAAAGCTGCTATTCAACAGCCTAAAGAAAGCAATATTCTTCATGCATTCTTCTCTTAATTTTTAATCCAGCACGTAAATAAATCGTCAGATGCAGATCACCTTATATTTGAGAATAGATTTTGAAACTAATGGAGCTTGGGGAGAATGCCACTCTATAAAGCCTTTTAGTAAGGTCACATTTGGAATATTGCATCCAGTTTTGGTCACCACACTATAAAAAAGATGTTGAGACTCTATACTATCAGGTCTCCTGCTTGAGCAGGGGGTTGGACTAGATGACCTGCAAGGTCCCTTCCAACCTATTCTGTTCTGTTCTGTTCTGTTCTATTCTATTCTATTCTATTCTTGATTTATTTTTATTCTATTCTATTCTATTCTATTCTTGATTTATTTTTATTCTATTCTATTCTAGTCTTGATTTATTTTTATTCTATTCTATTCTTGATTTATTTTTATTCTATTCTATTCTAGTTTTATTCCTATTCTATTCTACTCTATTCTATTATTGTTTTAATTCTATTCTATTCTATTCTATTCTATTCTATTATTATTTTATTCCTACTCCATTCTATTCTATTCTAGTTTTATTCATTCTATTCTATTCTATTCTATTCTATTCTATTCTTGATTTATTTTTATTCTATTCTATTCTACTCTACTCTACTCCACTCCACTCCACTCCACTCCACTTCTATTCTATTCTATTCTATTCTATTCTAGTTTTATTCCTGTTATATTCCATTCTATTTCTATTCTATTCTATTCTATTCTATTCTATTCTATCCTATTCTATTCTTGTTTTATTTCTATTCTATTCTAATTCTATTCTATCCTATTCTATTCTTGTTTTATTTCTATTCTATCCTATCCTATCCTATCCTATCCTATCCTATCCTATCCTATCCTATCCTATCCTATTCTATTCTATTCTATTCTTGTTTTATTTCTATTCTAATTCTATTCTATTCTATTCTATTCTATTCTATTCTATTCTATTCTATTCTATTCTATTCTATTCTATTCTATTCTATTCTATTCCTATTCCTATTCCTATTCCTATTTCATTCTCTTGAGGAAATTTCTAGCTGCTTGCAGATGGCTGTTCGGTTTCTTACAGGACAAGGGGAAAAAACAACTTTCGACTTTGGGATTTGAGGATTAAATTGGATTTGACCAGAGAAATCTTGCTGAGGCTGGTTGTCTTCAGGCAACCTGTTAAAACGGATCAAACACCGAGTGGCTCCATTGATTTGGGGGTTAATCAATCTGTGGTTAATTAAACTTGGTTAGTTTTTAGTCTCTGTGTGTTTTGGAAAGTCTGGTTTTTGGTCAGTTCATTAGTTAGCTGAAGGTTCAGTTTCTTTAATTCAGTGCAACACAGAAGCCAAGAAAACATCGTTAACATTCATTAACCAAGTTAACATTCATTAACCAAGTTAACATTCATTAACCTAAGTCAGCAGTTTGCACGGACAGAATCAGCTGTTTCTGAACTACAAGAAATTATGAGCATAAAACGCCAGCAAAGTATAGATGACCTTACAAGGTCCCTTCCATCTCTGTTAATGCGTTAAACCTATTTTCCAAAGCACCTGAAGGAATAATGGATGGAAACTGATCAAGGAGAGATTCAACCTAGAAATAAGGAGAAATTTCCTGACAGTGAGAAAAATCAACCGATGGAAGAGACGTTGCCTTCAGAAGTTGTGGGAGCTTCATCCCTGGAAGCTTTCAAGAAGAAACTGGGCTGCCCTCTGTCAGAAATGGTGTGGGGTCTCCTGCTTGGGCGAGGGGTTGGACTAGATGACCTCCGAGGTCCCTTCCAACTCTGTTAATCTGTTCCTTAAATTTTGTCACATAGCAACATGAATTCTGGGCTCCATTGTGGTCGTAAGTGGAGGACTGCCTCAAGACCTTTTTATTCCATCAGGCTGGCCTGGCCTAATTTTTCCCTTTTTTCCCTTTTTAAAACGCAAATTTTAATTCGTTTTTAATTTATTGGGGTGTTTTTAAATCTGTCTTCGGCCAAATTGTTTAATTCGGTTTTATTCTGTTTTTAAATTTTGTATCGGTGTGTTTTTATTTTGTGGCTGTTCACCGCCCTGAGTCCTTCGGGAGTAGGGCGGTATATAAATCAAACAAACAAACAAATAAACAAAATTAAACAAAATAAACGGTCTGCCGGGTGTGGAAAAATAAGTCTTTTCTGCCTCTTTTTTTTAGGACGATGTGGAGAGCGAGACCTTCCAGATGGAATGCATGAAGGACGGGATATGGAGCAGCCGGGTGCCGGTTTGTAAAAGTAAGATGCCAGTTTCGGGGTCTTTAGCAACGGGAGGGGGGAATCTGATGGGGTCAAAGGGCCCTCTGACATGAACTCAAAGATTCCTTTATTTGGAGCCCCGGCAGCCCCGGCAAAAAGTCTCACCGCAGGCTAACAAGTCCGTCAGTCCGGAAGATGATGTTCTGTCCCCGTCACACACACGCACCCCCCCACGGACGGCCGGAGTTAATAAGCCACACGACAAAATCTTTTGAAGATAAAGCTGGCAGCAACCCAGTGGCTAGCTGCCAATTCAGACTTTACTCACACAAAACAAAGATTAGACTGCAAGCATTCCGATAAAGCAGGCAGAGTTTCAGCAATACAAGGATTAGTCCAAACGCAGTCCGACAAGGCAGGCAGAAGTCCAGTAACGCAGAGATCATGGGTTATTTCTAGTTTTTGCTCGTCACAAACTGAAACCGGCCACCACACCCACATTTATACCCTGTGGGGTGTGGTCCAGTGACTCAGCTGACCTCTGGCACGCCTTCCCCTTTGCTGCGCACGCTTCTCCCTGCGCCACTGCCGAGGATCCAGCCAGTACTTATCTCCTTCGTCACTGTCCACCTGTGGCTGTGGGGACGTGCTTGGCTCTGGGCCTATCTCTTGGCCTTCGGTGTCCTCCGAGGCATTGCCAGAGAGGAGGGTCCTGGAGAGGGAGGCCTTGCCAACTCCTCTCCCTCACTCTCAGAGTCTGCATCTGTCGATAGCCCAGGCTCAGGCAACGGAGCCACAACAGATGAATAGTTGTCTGCCACATCTATTCATCTCTGCCCCCTGCCTTTTATCCCCAGAGCTGGGGTGGGGCTTCGCTAGCAGAGGTGGCTCTTCTGTCCCAAGGACCGGCCCATAGATTTCTATTGCTCTCCTCTCCTCTGCCTTCTGTGCATCAGGCACAGGACCCAGCTGTTCCTCCTCCTCCTCATCGGCCACCTCCAGACCTGGGGGCTGTCGACTCTCCATCTGAGGGATGACGGACGGCCCAGGCTCCGCCTCTGTCTCTCTCTCTCTCTGACAGCTCCATTCCCTCTTCCCCCTCGGAGCTCCCAGGTTGCCCTGATGCTGATCCTGACCCGTGAAAGCTGGACCCTGGTGGATGAATGCCCACCCCCACTTGGGCATCGCTGGGGTTAGGGACGGGCACCGGGGTCCCAAATTGGCTCTTTCACTCCAAGAGGCCCAAAAAAACCCAACAACAACAGGAAGTCCTCGGCGTACAACCGCAACCGAGCCCATTTTGTTGCTCAGCGAGATGGTCGTTAAGTGAGCTTTGCCCCGTTTTACGACCTTTCTGGGCGCCGGCGTGACTGCTGCTCGGCCGTCGTAGCTTGCCAACGAAGTTGCAGGGCTCAGTTACGGTCGTAAGGCCAGGGCTACCTGTCCATCCAGGCCTCCGGGGGGGGGGGGAGGCGGTAGCACCTCCGAAGACCCAGAAGGTAGGCAGCGGCGCCCTTTCCCCTTAACGCCAAGGGAGCGGGCGATGGAGGAATCCGTCTTTTTCTGTCATTCTGCGCTAGAACAAACTGCAGGAGCCTTTCAGTGCCTGCCTTCCTTTCGCAATCAGTTTAACCCGAGGGTCTTTCTTGCTGGGGCTGCTTCTGACGGTTTGCATGGTGCATGTTCTCTACTCGCTCTCCTTGCCCCTTCCTCTCTTTCTGCCCTTCCTTCCTTCCTTCCTTCCTCCTGCCTTCTTCCTATCCTTCCTTTCTCCCTTCTCTCCCTTCCCTCTTCTCCTTTCCTTCCTTCCTTTCTTCCCTCCCTTCTCCTCCCTCCCTCATTTTTTCTTCCCCCTTCCTTCCTTCCTTCCATTTCCTTCTGCTGCTTCCTTCTTCCTTCCCTCCCTCCCTCCTTCCTCCCTCTCTCTCTCTCCTTCCCTTCCTTCCTCCCTTCCTCCCTTCCATTCCCTTCTCCTCCCTCATTTTCTGTTCCTCATTCTTCCCTCCTTCCTTCCTTCCATTTCCTTCTCCTCTCTCCTTCCTCCCCCCTCCCTCCCTCCTCCCTCTCTCTCCTTCCTTCCTCCCTCCCTTCCCCTCCTCCTTTCCTTCCTTCCTTCCATTTCCTTCTGCTGCTTCCTTCTTCCTTCCCTCCCTCCTTTCTCCGTCTCTCTCTCCTTTCCTTCCTTCCTCCCTACTTCCCTCCTTTCCTTCCTCCCTCCCTCCCATTCCCTTCTCCTCCCTCATTTCCTGTTCTTCCCTCATTCTTCCCTCCTTCCTTCCTTCCATTTCCTTCTCCTCTCTCCTTCCTCCATCCCTCCCTCCCTCCTTCCTCCCTCTCTTTCCTCCCTCCCTCCCTTCTTCCCTTCCCCTCCTCCTTTCCTTCCTTCCTTCCATTTCCTTCTGCTGCTTCCTTCTTCCTTCCCTCCCTCCTTTCTCTGTCTCTCTCTCCTTCCTTCCTTCCTCCCTACTTCCCTCCTTTCCTTCCTCCCTCCCTTCCATTCCCTTCTCCTCCCTCATTTCCTGTTCTTCCCTCATTCTTCCCTCCTTCCTTCCTTCCATTTCCTTCTCCTCTCTCCTTCCTCCATCCCTCCCTCCCTCCTTCCTCCCTCTCTTTCCTCCCTCCCTCCCTTCTTCCCTTCCCCTCCTCCTTTCCTTCCTTCCTTCCATTTCCTTCTGCTGCTTCCTTCTTCCTTCCCTCCCTCCTTTCTCTGTCTCTCTCTCCTTCCTTCCTTCCTCCCTACTTCCCTCCTTTCCTTCCTCCCTCCCTTCCATTCCCTTCTCCTCCCTCATTTCCTGTTCCTCCCTCATTCTTCCCTCCTTTCTTCCTTCCATTTCCTTCTCCTCTCTCCTTCCTCCATCCCTCCCTCCCTCCTTCCTCCCTCTCTTTCCTCCCTCCCTCCCTTCTTCCCTTCCCCTCCTCCTTTCCTTCTGCTGCTTCCTTCTCCCTTCCCTCCCTCCTTTCTCCATCTCTCTCTCCTTCCTTCCTTCCTCCCTCCTTCCCTCCTTTCCTTCCTTCCTCCCTCCCTTCCATTCCCTTCTCCTCCCTCATTTCCTGTTCCTCCCTCATTCTTCCCTCCTTTCTTCCTTCCATTTCCTTCTCCTCTCTCCTTCATCCCTCCCTCCCTCCTTCCTTCCTCCCTCCCTTCTTCCTTTCCCCTCCTCCTTTCCTTCCTTCCTTCCATTTCCTTCTGCTGCTTCCTTCTTCCTTCCCTCCCTCCCTCCCTCCCTTCCATTCTTTCTCCTCTCATCTCCTGTTCCTCCCTCATTCTACCCTCCTTCCTTCCATTTCCTTCTCCTCTCTTCTTCCTCCCTCCCTCCCTCTTTCATTCCTTCCTTCCTCCCTTCTTTCCTCCCTCCCTCCCTCCCTTACATTCCCTTCTCCTCCCTCATCTCCTGTTCCTCATTCTTCCCTCCTTCCTTCCTTCCATTTCCTTCTCCTCTCTCCTTCCTCCCTCCCTCCCTCTTTCATTCCTTCCTTCCTCCCTTCTTTCCTCCCTCCCTCCCTCCCTTCCATACCTTCTGCTTCCTCCCTCTCCCCCCTCCTCCTCTCTCTCTCTTTCTTCCTCCCTTCCTTCCTTCCATCCCTCCATCTTTCCCCTTTTGCCTTTGCCACAGTGGCCGAACCCGAACCGACCGAGAACCAACTCTCGATAATCAAGGACTCAGATTCCGCGGCAGCCTAACCCAGGAGCCCAGCCCAGGAGCCTATGAAGGAGGAGGTGGTCCGAGCCCCTCGGCCTCCCTGTGGGGGTGAAATATTACATTTACATCCGGGGATTATATTACCCCTTCCTCTCACCGTTTCTCGTAGCAGCCCTGCGGCTTCTTCCAGCTGCAGTATTCAGGAGGGGCTATTTTAAACCCTTCCTTCCCCACCGGCCAAGCTCATAAAAATCAGAATTTTCTAAGAGGAAAAAAAAAATCAGCCAATGGCCTCCTGGACATAGCATGCAACCAAATCTTCCTTGCAAGGAATCCATCCATCCCTCGGATCGTGGCCAGGGGTGAATTTTCTCTCTTTTTTCAGTTGCCTCCTTTGCTACACACACTCCTTCTTTATAACCAAGGAATGAAAATGCTCTTTGCAAGAACGGGACTAACGTTGTTTTTTCCTGGTGATGGGAATGGCTGAACCTTTTTCCCCCCTCTGACTGTATTCCTCCTTCTCCGGTTCTTCTCGCCACGCTGATGGGAGGCATCCCAGGGGCTCTTTTCCTGTATCTGCATGCTCCCCGTGACTCCGAGATGTCAGGAAATCGAGAAACTCGGGAGAACAACAGCCCTGCAGAGTGGGAAACTGGGGTTCGGAGCCACCGAACAAGATTTCTGACTTCCTTTTTTATTATTCTTATTATTTCTTACGTGGCTTCCAAAATCTGCAAATCCTAGCAATCCATTCAGGAGCCTCGGGGAGGGATTAAAAAAAAAGGTGGAAAATGATGGTTGCAACCATCTAATAGAAGTCGTGCCTTTTTTTTTTTTTTTTTTTCGCCACCTGTGTCACTGGATACAGAGATGGGGAGCATATTAAGGAAACAAATACATTTTTTAAAAAATATGTAAGATGCATACGCAGAGAGAGAGATGCCCAGGTGCAGCTGTACCCCTGGGAAAATTAAAATCGCCAAGACGGTGAAACGTGGGGCCACGAGACCCCTCCCCACCCTTCTGGTCCTCTGTTCCAATTTCCTTGGAGCATAGCTCGAAGGATGGTTTCGGTCCGTAAGTGGACCGCTCAGTCTTTCCCAAGGTCTCCATCAGGGTCCCCCAAGAGAGACGGAGAAAAACGTGATGCCTGCATTGAGGCAGGAGTGAAATGAAGAATATGGGATCTTCTGCATCAGTACTTCTTGAAGATGTGTGGACTTCAACTCCCAGGAAAGAAAAATAAAGTAAAAAAATATATACCAAAATAATAATAGGGTAGGGTAGGATAAGATGAGAAAGGGAGGGAGGGAAGAAAGGAAGGACAGGGGAAAGAAGGAAGGAAAGGGAGGGAGGAGAAGGGAGGGAGGAAGGGAGGGTAGGAGAAAGGGGGAA